TAAAGATTCGCTTAAAAGATGGGCATACATGTAGAAATAGCTAAAAAAACAAACTTGGGCTATTATTAAGAGGAAAGATCAAATGACTTTTTATGCAAATATTATTTTTTATCCTTTTAGAACCTTCGAAATTTTGGTTAAAAATCTTTTACTTTTCGTCAACGTGGGCCCATAAATTTATTACAAAATTTATTACAAAATTTCGATGTATAATGAATCTTTACAAGAAGTGTTTTCATTTTAAAAAAATTTATCATAATAAATTATAAACTTATAATTCAGTTTAAATTATGTATTAATTTGTAAGAGTCAAGTGATATTGTTATTAAATAAAAACTGTATGTACTAATCATAAATGGAAAAGCTTACTGCACTCAGTGACTGTGTGCATAGACGAGACGATTTTTTGTAAATACGGACGTCCATACACTACATTATCAGAAAATAAGACCAGTAACTAAAATAAATTTAAAATTTATTAGTAATTTCCTAACATTTCCTCAACAAGCGTCTTCGTGAGTAAGACTATAAAGTCAAAATACAATAAAATATTAGAATACTTAAAATATTTTAAACTATTAGCATAGTGGGTACTTAGAAAATTAAAAAAAAAATGAGGTGTTTACGTTGTATTCGTCAAGTAATTTTATTAGAATTATCTTCTCATATAAATTAGCAAAACATCAGGCTATCGATAAATGTGTCAACTTAGCATAAAACATCCCCCTCTCTGGTAGCAAATGCTTTTCTGCAATATTTTAAACTAAAAGTAATTATTCAGATTAAGATTTAAATCGCTTAAATTTTCTCAAACGTTTCGGAAAAGGATATTTTATTTTTGGAAGATTTTTGTTTCAACAAACCGAATTGTGTTGTGTTGACATATTTGACAGTATGAACGATTTGATCGATTTTATTGATAACCAGAAAAAAATCATTCCAATCAATTTAAATCCGGTTTAAAATATGGCAAATATTTTGTTTATTGGACATATTAAATTTAATCTTGGGATTAAAATTAAATTAAAATACATCAAGAAAGATTTTTCATTTTTTCAAACGCATTTTAAATCTTTATAGCTTTGATATCGCTCCTTTTTTTTTTCTTTTTTTTTTTTTTTAGGTACCGTGATACAATACAGGCTGCGGCAGAAATACGTCCCACGAAAAGGTTAAGACATTATTAATGGCACTGGGACTTTATCTTGGCATTATGTAGGAGATACTTCTGCCGCAACCTGTATATTGCCTAAAATACGTTACATAAAATCGCTAATTTTTACGTTAGTTTATTTTAAAGTTGTTCTCAAAAGACTGTTTACGTTAATTAGAAAAATTGGTAACGAGTATTAAGATAAATAAATAATTAGAAATAATGTCGGATTAAAAAAAAATCTATTGTTTACATATCTTCCTGTGTACGTGCAGCAATATAAGTGGAAGTATAAATATTTCCCAGCGGGCGTACATGTATATGTGTTTACAGATGTTTCTGTGTGTGTATATGAAAACTGTCTTTGCAAGTGGGATCTTGTGTGTATGTGCGACAGTTTGTGCGAGGGAGTGTGTAAGTATTTTTTTTTATCAGTTTCTTGAAAAGACAATGTCATATAAATCGCTGGCTACGACAGTCGAACAATGTGATCTTCTATAGGTGAACAATAATACAGCATTCTTTCAAACAAACATGGCTGACCGAGAATTTGCTCTCCGCCCCACCATTTACAGCTAAGGAAAGAGAGAGAGAGAGAGAGAGAGAGAGAGAGAGAGAGAATCAATGGTCTTTCTGTTCCCCTCCAAATGCCGAAGATAAATAGAAAGACGAGGAAGAATTTATGTGGACGGACAGAAACATATGCAAAATAACCAACTACCGCTCCACCCACATATGAGCGATGGCATGGAGTAATGGTTAACGAGCTAGTTTGGTTGACCATTAAGACTGTGTAGTGAGTTCGAAATTTTAAAATAAGTTTTAATTTATTTCTATTTCTATTTCACGAAATAGTTTTATTTCTTTATAGGGTATTGGATTAAAATAATAAAAGTTTAAATAATTTTGTAATTAATAACAAAATCTAAAGTGCTATAAAAATTTAATACATAAAATAATTTTAACATTTCATAACCAGCATGCTAACAGTTAATAATAAAAAGAAAATGAAAATAAGATATTAAAAGATATTAAATGAATAATAAATAGAATATAGCGGCTCGGATTGAGGAATCGGGGAGCCGGGTTCGAATTCCAGTCGAATCCATTATATTCACTTACGTGCAAATACCCTTAGGAAAGGTATGAATCCTCTTCTTCGCCTTCCAGCTACAGATAAATAGCAGGACAGACTACCGCAGAAACTTACTGCGGGAAAGAATCTGCCTCGTCAGTCATGTATCGAAAGTTACATGATCGCCTAAGCGTGTGTCACTCATGGCACATAACTGACTGGACGTTTCATAAATTATTGAGTTACTTCCGTCATGGCATTTTATTGATATCTCAGTCATTAAATTTTAAAATTAATTTAAGAAAATTTTATAGTATTTTATGCTTCATTATTTTTTCGGAAAGCATCTTCAAACGTAAGACTTAAAGCTAAAATAACTAAAATTCAATAAAATATAAATTGCTGAAAATATGTTAATTTTTAAAAATTATTAGGTAACCAAAAAAATCGTCTACTTAGATTTCGTAAATTTATGTCAATTCTGGTCAACCATTCTTAGCTGTCAACAGATCAAGCTGTCAAAAAATCAATCAGTACGGCAAAAAACGTGATTAAGAAATGCTTGTATACTACGTTTTATGCTATGAGTAAGTTATATTTGTTTCAAATCAGATTAATTTGACTTTCTATTTGCTAATTTTCCTAAAATAATGTGTCACAAATATATACTTATTTTTGAAAGATTTTTAAAACCGAGAATTAAATTTTGTTTACAAATGTGTCAAGATGAACGAATTTACATGATTTTTTGAAAGCGACAAAAAAGTCAAGATTCTAATTTCTGTTTGAAATACACCAGGTTATTGCTTACTGGAAATAGTAAATATAATCCTTTTAGCTTTCAATTAAATTGTTTATAAAAAATCATTTAAAGCAAGGTATCGAAACTGAGTGGAAGTACCTATATATATATATATATATATATATATATATATATATATATATATATATATATATCATTTACCACGAAAAAAAAAGTTCGTGTTCTAAAAGATCTGCCGAAGAAAAATTACAAAAAGTAGTTAGCAAAAATCTACTTCAATGACTAGAATCTATGCTAATTGTCTCCCCTTCCCTGAATGGCGTGACCAATCAGAAAGATCTCTCGATGAATCAAAGCCGTTGTTTTTCGCTTATAAAGGCAGATTTTCTGCGCTGGTGAGCCGAACACGCATTTTTGCTCGTGATAAGTAAAGGTTGGACGTGTGACCCCATTTTGTCGTTTCTATTTTGCTTGTTGGTCTGTTACGACGGACTATCGTTTGAACTGCAATTTGGCTACAAGTGTTGCGGTCGAGAGACAGAAGAAATGTATTGCAGTTGCTACTATCAGTTGACAGTCTTTTCTTTTCTTTACTACAACAATATCATATAGCCTGACGTGCTATACAATTTAGCTACAGGGGAAGTGTCTAGTTAGCAAGGTTGAATTACTGCTTTTAAACTACAATTTCCCCATGATTTATGACAGAATATATTATGATATGGACAAAGACCGACTGTTATCTTGATACATTTTCAAAAAGAGTAAGCATCTTCCGGCTGTTAAATTTATTAATTATTTTTCTTGTATGCATATGTGTCTGTTGTAAATGTCAAAAATAAACAACATTTTTATTTGGTCCAACTTTTCGACTCACATGTGTCATCGTCAGTGGTGTGAGAACGTAAAGCGAAGAAAAAGAAATCAAATGTATTTTAAACATTGTGTTATGGTTTCAACTACAGATAAAATGTAGTGGTGGTCATTTTGCTATAAAATTTAGTGTCGGTAATTCTGCTTTTAAATATATTGTTGGTACTTTTACTATAAATGGTATTTATCAATCCACCCACGAGGGTGGGTATCTCTGAGCATCCAAACCCGCCGAGGCGGGCCAGTTCCGCCAACCTCCCCCAACGAAACCTTCGGCGGAGCTTCGTCCGGGTTCCTCTCTGCAAGCAGAGAGTTCGACAGACACCCGACCCGGCAGCTCACAAAGCGCAGATACTACACTTTGATCCTAGCCACCGGGCCGAGCGGGTATTCTTTTTATAGATACTTTTACTATAAATATGTACCGTTGGTAATTTATTTATATGGAAATGCATTGTTGGTATTTTTATTATAAAAATGTATTCTTATACTTTCATAGTGTTTGGGAGTTCGCTTTTTGCCCACAGCTGGGACCTTAACAAGTCAAGGTTGACCTGGAGGCAACGGCAATTAAGATATGGTCCCACGCTCCTTAAAACCTCCAAATGCGCGACCTTGCTACCGGATGTAGTTTATCGTCATACCCAGAACAACATTGGTTAAAAGAGTTGATTAATTTCCGGTTGCTTTCTTTCCGCTGCTTTGAATCCAGACTAATTCTTCTCCCAAACTACCCACCACCCATTCAAAGCTAGACAACCCAATCTACCTTGCTATTCAACCCTAAACTGGTAGGGAAGAGATGATCTCATGCCTTTTCCATGTGAAGAGTGAGAGATTTCTCTACTACTTCTACTTTAATAACCCGTTCTCTTTCAGGACGTAGGTGATCATGGTTCTCTACAACTTCCATTTTCTTTCACCAAAATTTTGATCTTCAGCATTCTTTTTTGTCTCCGTTCTATCATCTATTCACACAAAATTGTTAAATGTTTTCCCCTGTCCGTAAGACCATAGGGCCGTATCACAATGGATCACCGTTTCTCGTACGATCACCGAAGTTAAGCAAAGTCGATCCCGGTCAGTGGAATTTCCAATTCCAAGGCATTAGGCATTACACCAATAACGTATTCAAGCTTACAGCACCTGGAATTCTCAAGCAATGATCCACCTAGCTACTGATCAGACTCAACGTTGCTTAACTTCGGTGATCGTACAAGAACCGTTGTTTCAACATGATATGGCTGTAATCCCTCCCCACTCTCTCTCACACACACACACACACATACATATACATACATACATATATATATATATATATATATATATATATATATATATATATATATATATAAGCAAATATATGGATATAGATCCGACAGTATGAAGAAAAATATACGGAAAAAACAAACATGTCATGTTGAATTGATAATGTTAATTATATGAATATGTTCTGAAGATGGTCTACTAGACCGAAACGTCCGACGTTGACATTATATTAACATTAAAACAGCATAATTGCATATAAGGATTTTTGTTTGTTTTTTCCGTATATTTTTCATATATATATATATATATATATATTACAAAAAAGAACAGAAAATTTCTTACAATTAACAATGACATTTTTCTAAAAACATATTTCGGATTACATCTATTCTTTCGTTGTCCTGTTATTATCGGGAAGTAAATAACAAAAACAAATCTATTTCCATACCTGAAGATGTCTGTATGAACAGATGAAAGCTTGTAAAAACATAAAAAAGATCTTATGCAACTGGAATTTATAAACAGGGATCATAACATTCATCTACAGGTTCAAGGTTAATGTACTTTATTACATTTGTTTGCGAAGATGTATTCTCGCCATTTATATCATTAACTTCTATATCTGTTTTTTGTATGAATGATTCATGTAATGTAAATTGAACTGCACCATATACTATATATATATATATATATATATATATATATATATATATATATATATATATATATATATATATTCATTTTTTTTTCGTTTTGTAGAAGTAAACGCATGGGACAAAAAAAAAATTATGAAACATTTTGATCTTCCTTTACTCCTAGAAAACGGAAAAAGGTAAGGACGCTGGAAAACTCAATAAAAAATTAATTAAATCATCCTTGTCTGTCGTATTTAATGAAAGCTGTATGAAAGAATGTCTGTTGCCCATCTATATACCAAAAAAAAAAATCTTTATAAAAGATTTCTGTTATCTGTTTGGATTGGTATTGCTTTTATGTCCATCGTCTTTTTCATGTTGAATTGTATATGGTCTATGTTAATTATGTTTTATGAATATGTCCTGAAGATGGTCTATTAGACCGAAACGTCCGACGTTGACATTAAACATTAAAACAGCATAATCGCATATTAGGATTTTTGTTTGTCTTTTCAGTATATTTTCTTCATATATATATATATATATATATATATATATATATATATATATATATTTCGATAAACATGCAATCAATTTACAAATTCATGAATTATTCATACAAAAACAAATGCAAAGGTTAATGATTTAATTGGCGAGAAATCCATCGTCGCAAACAATTCAAATAATATACAAAAACCTCCGAACCTGTTATGAATGAAAAGATCCTTGTTTATATAAATTTCTGCTGCATTAGTTCTTATTTTTACTACAAGCTTTCGTCTGTTCCTACAGATATCTTCAGGTATGGAATAGATGTTGTTGTTGTTTTTTCTCTCAGTAATAAGAGGACAACGAATTGTATCCGAAAATGCTATTGGAAATGAGTTATTGTTTTGGGAGCGTGCAGTAGCAACGCTGAGTTTGATTTTAAATTTTAAGGTTTTTGTATATTATTTGAATTGTTTGCGATGATGGATTTCTCGCCAATTAAATCATTAACCTTTGCATTTGTTTTTGTATGAATAATATATATATATATATATATATATATATATATATATATATGTAAAAAATGAACATTGAAGTCAACAATCAGAGGCGACAGACTGTTTCATGCTAAGCACATCTCTAAACTGGTCTAAGTTACCAGAAAAGTAATTTATGAATTATTTTTTAAATTAAAATCCTGATTTTTTTTTAAAAGCTAGATGCACCAAGCACATAGCTTCCATGTTTAGGTCAAATCTTTGTCATTTGATATTTGATATTTTAAACTGGATGCTAAATTCCTCAATCTTTAAAAAGATAATCCTTACCCTTTTGCTTATTAAATGCATCGATGAGGGATTGAGAGTAGATTTATCACATATAAGGCCTAATATTAAAAAGACTGCAATAGCATATAGGGTACAGCTTTCACACAAGCATATTTAAATATACAATTAAATGTCTTAAAAATAAATGTTTATCTCAGGAGACTTCTTTATTATAATTTTTTTTTTTTGCTAATGTTCACCCAATACAAGGCCCAAGAGCCACTCAAGTTAGAGAGTTACTGTGTAGAGTTATATTAGGAAAGGACAAGCGTTAAGGGTATACAAATGAAGTAGACTTTAGAATTAACTAGAAAGCCAATCCGAAACAGAACACAAGGGATAAAGCTCTACTCCTGTTAAAAAGACCGGGAAAGAGCGTGAACCGCGGACGATCGGCGAAACTATCTATTCTTATTGAATAGTGGAGGTGAGAAAAAAATAAAGTGAGATAAATAGTGAATAAACCAGAGAAACCAGGCGCAGATTTTAGGAGAATAGAGCGCTGAAGTAAACTTTAGAAGTAACCGGAAACGCAATTCTAAACCGGAAACAAGGGATAAACCTCTACTCCTGTTCAAATTTCTTGACTAATATTTCCTTATTAAAAAATAAAGTACGCCTAAGAGTTTTAGCTATTCTAAAAGTGCGCCTTGAAGTAAAATATGTTTTAAAAATCACTGGGATATATATATATATATATATATATATATATATATAGAGAGAGAGAGAGAGAGAGATAGATAGATAGATAGATAGATAGATAGATATGGACACAATGGGATAGTTAAATAGATTGATATGAACAGAATGAGATAGATAGATAGATAGATATTAATAGAATAGGATACATATGAGTAGAATGGCATAGATAGATCAATACATAGATACATAGATATGAGTATTTATTTATATATATATATATATATATATATATATATATATATATACGTATAGGTAAATAGATAGATATGGACAGAATCGGATAGATAAATACAGATGAACAGAATGAAATAGATAGATAAATAGATTTGAACAGAAATATAGATAGATATGAACATATATATATATATATGTGTGTGTGTGTGTGTGTATACATATATATATATATATATATATATATATATATATATATATATATATAGATAGATAGATAGATAGAGAGAGAGATAGATAGATAGATAGAAAGATATGGACAGAATGGGATAGATAAATCGATAGATTTCAACAGAATGAGATCGATCGATCGATCGATCGATAGATAGATAGATAGATAGATAGATATAAACCTATATAGAAGCGGCGAAATTGAAATAGATAAATGCTGGTATAGGTTGCATGATTTTCGTTTGCAGCTGATTCAGAAGGGAAACCGTAGGCACCAATTGAGCGAAAGTGACACGCCCTCTCCTGCGCACATCGAGATGAAATGCCCCGTTCTTTTTTTCACTAAGAGGAACACGACGCCAACAAAGTCATTATGAATCAAGTTCGAATTGATGAAAATGTCGAGACAGAAATGGACAGCAATTGATTCCTTTGAACACTCAGTAGTTAACGGAAGCGGAGCGTCTGGAATATCGAGTCATGACGTACTTGCTGACATTGATGAGGAGAATCAAAATTCGGTTGAACGGATATAAGGTTGTTTGTTTATTGCTAGAAGAAGCATTAAGAGGACTGCGATTAATAGACTCGGAAATAAAAAAACAAAAAACAAACTATATTTGGGATTATCTTTTGCCTAAATAAATTGAGAATACCATAGAGATAATCCCCATATATACATACATACATATATATATATATATATATATATATATATATATATATATGAAGAAATATACAGTGTAACCTGGATATAAGAGAGTTTTCGGGACCGGAGAAGAAGTCTCTTATATCCGGGTTTCTCTTATATCCGGGTTTGGTCTATTTTATATACATTAACACAGGCTCTAATTTGGGACCAGAGAAATTTTCTCTTATATCCGGGTTTCTCTTATATCCGGGTTTCTCTTATATCCGGGTTTCTCTTATACCCGGGTCTCTTATATCCGGGTTTCACTGTAGTTTTAAGATGTGCTATATTTATGGGATAAAATGCTCAATATCAGAGATAGAGCGTAAGTAAATATAAATATAAAAGTGAACACTGAAGTCAACACTCAGAGGCGACAGGCTGTTTCATGCTAGACGCAATCGTCAGGCCTGAAGATGACTGAATGTACAGTCGAAAGTATATGCGTATTTAAGAAAGACTTTATACAGCTTATAACTTTAAAAAACAATGACAATAACATTGATCGAGTGATTGGTAGGTTAATGAATCTTTAAAATTTTGTTAGCGAAGGGATTTCGCCATTTTATATCATTAACTTTACTAATTTATTTTTGTATGAATGATTCATTGTAATATAAATTGAAATGTACCACATATTTGATATATATATATCAGGTCATCCCATAAGTTCTGTCCGAATTTTAACTTTTTGGTTAAAATGAACGAAATTTAAAGAGTATTTTATAATGTCTAATGGAACTGAACATTATTTTTATGTTTAGATGCATTTAAACTGATCAGATTTTATTTCAGAGAACAATAAAATTAATTTTTGTTTGATTAAAACCCCAAGAACATGGAAGTACCCAAGAATCATTTGAGGCACATAATGCTTTATGAGTTCAAGAAAGGAAACTCAGCAGCCGAAGCGGCTAGAAACATTCACTCAGTTTATGGAGAGGAATGTGTGAATGAAAGAACTTGCAGAAGATGGTTTGCAAAATTCAGAGGTGGAGATTTCACCCTTGAAGATGAAGATCGAACTGGACGTCCAGTTGAGTTTGATGAAAAGATTCTTGAAGCGGCCCTTGAAGAAAATCCTGCTTTATCAGTTGAGGAATTGGCAGTGGTTCTCAGTTCAAACCATACAACTGTTCATTGTCATCTTCAACAACTTGGAAAAGTTCTTAAACTTGGAAAATGGATGCCTCATGAATTGTCTGAAAACAACCTCAAATCCCGAGTTGACATC